TTATTTGGTCCGTTGGACGTACTGTGGCACTCAGTAAACATCAGTGGCTATAGCTTGATTTCTCTGTTGTCAGTCCTGCTGTGCACCTGTGTAGAAACTGTGGGCACCTCCAACCCGAAGAAGTATGTTTGTGTCTGTGCCTATTAGGCAGTTTTCTGTTTGTAGAAACAGAAAATTGGCTGAGATCTGAGATGTATCTTTATCCTTCTGCTCTTTCAAGGTAAATTTCAAGAAGCCTGTCTTCCTAACACCGCTTATCATCGGGGTTCTCAGCAGCCTCCATGTTCTGTCCAGCTTTAGAAAAGTCTCAAGTTGTTACAGCACTTTCTGTGTTTTAAGAGATCGTAGACTGCCCAGCACGTGAATGAATACTTGTGTTTGTAGTGGTGACATCTGTGAGTGATTGTGTTTCATTTTTGTGTAGATCAACAGACTGGAATCTGAACTGCAGAGGGATTCCAAACGAGCAGTGCAGTGTGAAGAAGAAAAATTACAACTGGAAGAAGACATAACAAAGCTAGAGAAAAACGTGCGGGAAATGAGAAATACTTTAGAAAAGTACACAGCGAGCATCCAGGTGAACAAGCTGGTCACTGAGGCAGCATCTGGTTTCTATATGCAGGAGAACAGCTCCTCAGGCTCAAGTTAATGTCACCTTTGTCAGTATCAGAGACCTTTCCTAAAGTATGGGATTCTAACACTGATCTGTTGTTTTCTGTAGAGTTTTTCTGAACAAGAAATTCATCTAAAAGGCCAAGTTAAGGAACTTGAAGCAAATGTAACTGCTGCTGCTCCAGACAAAAACAAACAGAAGGAATTGGAGAAAGTCCTCAGTAGTTATAAGAAAGGTACTTACTGTGGAGAGAGGGATTGCAGATAAAAGCTGTAGTCATGTTCATTTACCAATGCAGGAGTGAATGCTAAGGCTTTGTTCTTGCACGTTACCAGTGCTGTACTCACCACTTTGCTTTTGTAGCATTTTAAGAAAGAGCACACAGAGTACTTTGGATGTCCTGTGTTCCTCTTTTGAGCAATGCAGCATCAACAGCATGCAGATGCTTTACTTCTTCAGTCGCACTAAAATCCGAGGTTATAAATATCTGGGATGTTTCTGCCAGACGATTGAGAGAGACAGAACTGAGTCTAGAGACCACGTCACGTCATTAACACTTACTTTGTTTACCAACAGATTATGAGCGTGTTTCTGAGCAAGCTGGTAGAATGGAAAGTGAAGTTAAACGATTACATAACCTCATAATTGATTTCAATAATCGTAAACTTAAAACACAGCAAGACAAAGTTGATAAGATCAACCAAGAAATAGATGAATGTACTTCAGCTATTACTAAAGCTCAAGTGGCAATCAAGACTGCACAAAGGTACAGTACACATCAGTTTTAAAGGCTGTCTCTGTACTTGGGGATCTGTCAGGATGGGGGTGTGCTTTCCCTTCCTTACAGCAGAGGAAAACTGGAGGGAGAAGATCACGGCCTTTTTCTCTAACAGACACCTCAAACTGAAACTGGCTCTTGATTAAGGTTTTGTTAATTAATTTAGAGGTCTTTGTTAATTAGTGTGCTTTACAGGCAGAGGATCAGAGACCTAGAAAGCTTAGTGACACCTGATCAAGGAGAGTCCCTTCAGTCTTCAAACAGCTGCATCTGCCGACATCAGGACCTGCAGCAATTGGTGCCATGGCTAAAAGTCTCTCCATCTGAAAATCTTAGTTTTCATTTGCGTGCACCAAGCTAAAAGCTGCTTGCGTTGGAGTTAAAAGGCAGTAACGTTTGGCAGTCCAAAAGGTGATTTAGAAGTCCCCTTTAATCAGTTTTTTCTGCCTATCACTAAAATACAACATCAGGAAAAAATTAGGAATAACCGTTATTGGCATGCAGTGAAGCAGTTCAGATCTGAAGGACTAATTGTATTGTGAAGTGTGTCAGAAAGAAAATGGGCTGTTTTTATGTTAGCTTAACGATGCATAGTGAGAGTGAACTCACAACAGTGTGAAGGAACCAGCTGCATGTTTGTGTTTACAGAAGACAGCTTTGTCTTACCCATGTATCCCCAGTGTGTGAGGGTTTGTGCACACATCACTGCTTCCTGTTTGATTACCAATATCTAGGGAATGTTTTTTATAAGCAAGGCTGTGCTTCTGGATTCTCTGGTGTTGTACTTGCACTTGTGAAGTACATGGATGTCTTGGTGTCCGTTCAGAAACCTGAAAAAGTCTGAAGATTCTGTTCTTCGCACGGAGAAGGAGATTGGAGACAATGAGAAAGAAATTAAAGACTTAACAGAAGAGCTGACTACACTAGAAGACAAAGCTACAGGGGTTCTGAATGACTGCAAGCAAGCTGAAGTAAGTGTAATGTTAATTTGGTGTACCTCTTCCTAGAGGATGCAGTCTGAAATGAACTGCACGTAGTATTTGTTGTACCAAAGGAGTCTTAATGGGTGCTGCTAACCTTTATCCTTGACACTGCAGGCAGGCCTAGAATACAGAAATGAGCAGATAGCTCCATTTGAAGAGCTACCTTGCAATTCGAGCCTGACCTCATGACACTGATCTAAACCACATTAAAACATTAGTGTAGGACTTGCTTCATCCAGATCTGGATGTCAAATATAAGCTGCAGCGCGTTTTCCCAGCTGCTGTTTCAGAACTCGCACACCAGGTTAAGCTGACTGTTAGAGTGTGTTTTATTTACAGCCGTACTCAGGGCTGTGGAGAGTAACTGTGTGAATAGATGGTGAGAACTGAGCTGGAAGGTGAGGCACGGGTGAATTTCCCTGGCAACTGAGCACTGCCCTCTGTGTGCCACTGCTGCAGGAAGCGCTGCCGGCCGTGCAGGAGGAGCACCGCGCTTTGCTGCAGGAGATGAGGGCCATTCAGGATGACGAACACGAACTGCGGAAGGAAGCCCTCAATATCAAGTTCAAAATTGAGCAAATTGACAGTCATATTTCTACACATCAGTCGAAGGTTAAATACTGGCAAAAGGAGGTAAGCAAGTTTTTCAGTTCGTAGAAGGTGAATTATGGCGTCCCGATAATAGTTAACGGAGTAGGAAACGTAATTTGGGCAAAAAATGACATTCAGCTCATCATTTACAGCAAAGTATTGTTTGTCCTTTAAAAACCTGTTTAAAAAAGGATGACGTGAATGAAATGATTTAGCTTCTGGCTTTCCACGTTTTTTCTTTATGAAAGAATGGTGGGGTAACTGTAACTGATGTAGTGCTGTTTAAGAGCAATGAAAAGCAACAAAGGCAAAGTAGTAGGCAATAAATACCAACTAAGGGGCTTTCTGTGCCTGGCTGTTCTCTCAGTAGATACTGGGGGAATAAAAACAACAAAAAAACCCTTCTTAGGAAGGTGAGAGAAGCAAAGAGGAGTAGGAAATGGAAAACATTCAGTGCTGTATCCACTAAGCTGTTCTTTAAAACAAGACAAATCACAGCAGGAGCGTCTTCAATCAGCTGGGAATGGTGTTTAATTCTTCTGGAAGCAATTCTGCTCAGAAACCTGACTTCTTTGCCCATGGGTTCCCTGAGTGCACAGTCAGTCAGAGGCAATGGCTGGGGCTGGCTTTGCTTTGTTCTTCATGACCTATGCAACGTGCACAAACACGGTGTGTGCACAGGGGAAAAGGCCAGATAAGATGTAGACCAGCAGATGATCCTGCAGTGCTCTTTGCATCCTTGCTCCTTTGAGGACAGCTAGAGCAGCTGCTCAGCAGTGGTGTTCAGCAGCTTTTCAATCTTGCAAATACAAGGTATTAAATTAAATTAAAAGGGTTTGTTCTCAAAAAGTTTTCAAATGGTAGAAAGAAACTTCAAGGATGAGGAAAGCAGAGATGAGACCCACATTGCCTGCTGCTGCTCCATGCACAGAAACATCCATTTCTGAGAGTAAATCTTCAGGCACAAAACAACAGGATGCAGTGTTTGTTGTCTGGCATGCAGAAGTTTTGAATGCTTGGAAGGTTCAGTGTCTACTAACACCAAAAATATTTATTTTGGAAGCATGTTCGTGTGATAATTGATGTCATCTTTAGATTTCTAGTAACTGATTTTGATTTTTAGATATCAAAATTATCATTGCATCCCATAGAAGATAAGCCACCCGAAGAGCTCCCAGTGCTCAGTCAAGAAGAGCTTGAGGCTATCAAGGATCCGGACGTTATCACTAATCAAATAGCTCTCTTGGAAGCACAGTGCCATGAAATGAAACCCAACCTTGGTGCTATTGCAGAGTACAGGAGGAAGGTAAAGCTCTGCTACTGCCATGCAGCAGATTCATTGCTTTGATATTGCACAGCAGCGTGGCTTTGCCTCGTCCAAAACACGTTTGGCTTTTCAAGGATCGGTTTATTCAGGTTTTCTTGCCCAGTATTGCCTCATCCCAGGGGAAGAAGGCAAAACCTTTACGCACTGACTGCTGACACATAAAGACAGGCAGTGACCCCGTGCTGTCAGGTGGTGTCAAGCAGACATCTGTAGCTGTTGAGACAGGTTGATTAAATGCAGATGGGAGCTGCTTTTCTGCGCTGCTCCTCCAGAGTGCTTGAGAGCTGCTCTGCCCACAGCTGCCAACTGCCCACAGCTCTTATGGGCAGAGCTGTAAGATTACCTGAAGCACAGAGCTACTAAAGTAGGCATTCATCGGTTAATTACAATTTCAAGTTAATTAAATGGCTGAGGGAGTCCACGTTAGAAGTGAACAGCAAAAAGAGGGAGGGTTTGTTCTCAGCTCCTTTTTACTTCAAGGCTGTTGGTCATTCTGGGAAAAATAAGTTTTCAAATGGTAGAAAGAAAAGTGGCATAAAATCTAAAATAGAAGCAGCTTCTTTAACTGCACTTTGGTTTTGTTGTGTTTCATTGTTGTTCTTTGCAGGAGGAGCTGTACTTAAAACGGGTGGCTGAATTGGATGACATTACCAATGAGAGAGACAGATTTAGACAAGCTTTTGAAGATCTCAGAAAGCAGAGGCTAAATGAATTTATGGCAGGATTTAATGTAATAACAAATAAACTGAAGGAGAACTACCAGATGCTGACTTTGGGAGGAGATGCTGAGTTAGAACTCGTAGACAGCCTGGATCCCTTCTCTGAGGGAATCATGTTCAGGTATGTGAAAATACTTGGCATTGTGGCTGCAATTCCTCGGCACTGTATTGCCTTTTGAAAACCCATTTTTACAGTAAACTTCACAGCTAACCATGGTAGTCCCATCTCTTGGCAAATACTGGCAAGATACTCACAGAAGCCACAACCTTTTAGCTCTGAGTAATATTCATTTCACTTCAGGAAACACAGAACTAACAAACAACAGTTAGAAAGCTTTGATTTCAAAGTAATGTTCCAGGTTTCTTGTTTCCCACACCATTTCATTTGCCCGAGGAATCATGTCAGATCACAGTGGCAAGCAGACATGGTTCTGCCATCAATATATATATATATAGCCCTCAAGTATATTCATTACTTTAAGAATAGAACAACACTTTTGAAACATAATGAAATAGTAGTTCTTCAATGTTGCAGGTCCCACAGAGAACAAACGAGTGTCGCAGCAGCTCCAGCCCAGGCAGGCAGCAGCTGACACGTAGCTGTGTGTGCCCAGGGAGCTGCTCCACGACCTCCCTGCTGCCTTGTGGCTCGTCAGCACGGCCTGTTCCTTGATTCATGAGCAGAAGTAATTTACAAACTGATTTTGTTTCAGCGTTCGGCCTCCCAAGAAAAGCTGGAAGAAGATATTTAACTTATCAGGAGGAGAGAAGACTCTCAGTTCACTGGCTCTAGTTTTTGCACTTCATCATTACAAGCCAACACCACTGTATTTTATGGATGAGATCGATGCAGCACTTGACTTCAAAAATGTATCCATCGTAGCATTTTACATATACGTAAGTACTGGCAGCTACTGCAGTGCGACCTGTGCCTTCTCTGCCACAAGAAGGGAAAGTGGTAACGAAGTTACAGCCAGATTCAGGCTTTGTAAGACGCAGTGTTTTCAAACATCTGTGCTAAGCAGGTGTTCAGAAAGCTGCTCAGAATGTAGTTTTCTGCCTGTTTTTTTCTAGACTGCTGCTTTCTTGAAGTTGGGTTGCTAACGGAAGATCTGTAATTATTCCCTACATCTTCACTGCGCGTTTTGGAAAGCCGTCTAAAGAGCAGAGTTTGCCAACAGCGCTGCGGTTCAGCACAGCCCTGCTGCAACTCCTTTCTCTTTAAAACTTACTTCCACTCAAACTGATCAGCCCCACTCAGCTGAGCTGCTCCTGGTAGGGCGTTCACACATCCAGGCTCATGACTTCATTCTGAGGTGCAGCCAAAGCCAAAGGATTTTTACTTGCCTTTCATTCTCTCAGGCTGCAGCAGGCAGGTTTATTGGATCTGTCTTTTTTGAAAGCCTGAAAGGAAAAGCACTGATATTTCTATCATCACCATATTTAAGCCAAGCGAGCATTTACATTGCTGCAGTTCCTGCTAATTTAAAATTGAAATTTTCAGAATTACTCAAAGTATAACCCATTTTGGGAACAGGCTGGAAATGCCAAAGATTAACTGCTTCAAGCTAGGGAAGCACCTTAAACTTTGCTTCCACAGTACTTGTGTTTTCACACGTGTGACCTTACACTGAGTTACTAAGGGAAAAAAGGTGGTTTTATTTTGAAAGCACCAGCCAAGGTAGATGCTTGGTTATCTTGTGCCATTGTGCCTCAGGATCACAGAATTGCTTTCCTTCTTCAGAGCTTGTCCCCTTCCATAAGGGGTTTGCTTCCCCCAGTTCTCAGCGTGTGGAGATAGGTTTCATTTCCTTTCCATTCCTAAAGGAGCCCTCGTTAGGACAATTCAGGTAAGTCAGGCGGCCTTCAGGAAAGCTAATGAAATTCACATTAAGACTGGGGCAAACTGAAATTCTGCAAACATTTACGTATGCTTTTATTTAATTCAATTCACTTGAACAGGTCATGTGAAAGGAAAAAAAAAAGGGGGAAAGCTGTTGCTTGAGTCAGTTGAAATGCTTTGTGCTGAAAGCCAAGGCAGGACTCAGCCAAAAGCAGACGACTGAGATCAGCACCTGCAGAGCTGTTGGACTGCATTGTGCACTGAACATTTACAGGGATGTGTCAGCAGTTCTTAAAGCTGGATGTGGAGACCATGCAAGAGCGCAGCTTCCCCAAAGCCCTGAGCTCACACGAATACCTTTTGTTCCAGGAGCAGACAAAAAACGCGCAGTTCATCATCATCTCCCTGCGGAACAACATGTTTGAGATTGCAGACAGGCTGATTGGGATTTACAAGACTCACAACACCACCAAGAGTGTGGCTACAAACCCCAAAGTCATTGCAGCCAAAGGACTGACGGAGCTGGGCATTGCTGAGCACAGCATGGCTCAAAACCAGAGTGAATGAAAAAACAGAAACTTTCCCATGTAAATTAATATTCTTGCTGCTGCTTACTGTATTTTTTTAAATATACTTTTGTATTTTGAGATTTTTCTCTTTAGATTGGAGTCTCTTTAGACTGTTAATAAAAACAAATCTAAATAAATGGCATTCTTTATCATACAGTCTCTATGGGTCTTAATTATATGAACTGATTAAAATAAAAGCTATTATTTCAATTATTATGTCAATTCAGGACATTTTTTCCCCCTCTGCGTACTAAAGGAAGCAAATTGCTTTCAAACACCAACAGAGAGCATCCTTATTTAAATACCAAAGCATTTTAATGTGTGTGTTCCAGTAAGTGAAGTCAATATATAAAATAATTTGCATTAATAAGGCTGTAAAATGGAACGGACTTCTATTTCTGGCTGCTCTCATAAAGCTGTGCTCTAGGAATCAGGCACTGGGAACATTTTGCACTGAACTGGTTTGGCTGTTGTTCCCTTCTCTGTCTTCCTGTAATTACACAGGCAGGACAACACTTCTCTTCCTGTGGCTGTTGTACACTTACAGTTTATCAGTCCCACAGCGACTCACCTGCTTGCTCTCACCATCATTTCTAACATGTTTTCACTTGTAGAGGTAAGAACATTTCAATCTGTGCCCTATTCCTGATGCCTGCCTACCCATTAAAGTTCTCTGTTTCCATCATTGTGTCAGCACTTCTGTACCCATGTTTTGCTTTGAAAGTTGTCTTTGTATTTTTAGGAGCTGGAACTGCACTCCAGAAGTGGTGGTCACTAATAACCAGCTCCTGAGCTGGAAGTGTCTCCTACCTTGGGATGAGGTTCCTCACTGCTGTATGCCGCTATCTCCTTTTGACAGAAAACAGCTGTGTCCTAAATGCTGCTTCATATCACTTCTGTTAGCTTAAGCCACCAGCAGTTATCCGCCTATTTCCTTAAAGAAAAAGATAACCAGTCACTGATGTGCTCGCTCTTGTAAGGTGCCCATAGTAGAAAAGCTTGCTTTGCTCAGTTCTAGGATGACAGTTCACTCTTTCCTGTGCTATTTGTCTTTACATTTCCCTCTCACCTTCTCCTACTCAGCACACTTCAAGCTCCCTGCACTTTGTCACAGTCCTGTCACACAGCGCGCAGACCCTGAAGCCTCCCCACAACTGAAGAGGCTGAGTGGTGCTGGTGCCCACGAGGCTGTGCTCCCTGTACCAGCCTGCACTCACCTGGCAGCAGGGCAGGCTCACCAGCACAGCTGCCCTGCCAAACTGGAGGTGGTGTAACTGAACAGGCTATCAACTGAGGGGAAAAGCCCATGTTCAACGTTACAGTGAAAGCTGCTCTGCACAGTGATTACACCAAATATCACCAGCTGCAAATTAACAGGCACAGAATAAAAACGTACAAGCAGACTATTTGAATTGGGGCCAGAAAGCCATCCTGGTTACTGTCAGATCATTTTCAGAACACAGATCAGCAGCAGTGAAAATCAACACTAAAGACAGAAAATGCAAGGCCTTTCTCTGCCCCATCCTAATGTCAGCCACGAGTGCAGTGCAGTTGTGGTTTCTCCCATCTCATGACCTTGACAGAGCCTGAGGATAGATTTATGGCAGTTGCAGTATTCAGTTCTCACCATCCTTCAATATGAAGCGACAATAAATTAATCTTCCTGCAGGTGAAGTTGTTTTGGCCACAACTGCTGAGCGCTCTCCCTGCCCCCATCCTGACCCATGACCTTCTCTGCAGTATTTTGTCCTCCTGAGGGAGCGAGAGCAGCTCAGCCTGCACCTCGCACTCAGCCAGAGTTAGCCCACCTCCTGCAGACTCCCAAACAGATCTGCAGTGAACAACGCAAATAACTTGAAATCCACACTGGCCAAACTCTTTTAGAGACTCTAAATGGTCTATGCTACAAAAAACAGGGCAAGAGGAAGAGAAGAAATCAAATCAAGCACTGTTTAATACCCACATTCTAGCTCCAGCGAGCCCTGCTGCTCTGTCTCATAGCCCCAGTCCAGTCCCCAAGTGCTTCCAGCTGTCCAGGATTAGAGGGAGAGTGATCAGGGAGGAAATCAAGGTGTTAGCCAACTCTAATGTAAGAATATGCAAATTTATTAAAATATATGGTACACCGAGAAGTACGAGTACTAAACGTTTCTATCAATCAGTGATAAAGACATCTTATAAATTCACGTAATCTGGAAAAATAAAATTGCATTATAAACTTTCCGTAAGATTTGTAAAAGTCGTGAAAATAAAAAAAGCAGATTTGTGTGGCAGCAGACGTAGCACCAGGTTGTGAGAGTTAATGTGCAGGTGGCAGCCATCCAGCAGGGCTGCAGAGAAAGACACAGAGCCCACCGCCAGTTCCGCTGGGCGCTCACCCAGTCCAGGCTGCGCCGACAGCGAGTTCACAATCCAGCAGCACAGGGCGACTTGCCATCGCTCGTGCTAGAGGCACAAACCAGAGGCAGGCAGGGCAGAGGCCTGCTCCTCCGAAGCTCTGCTCAGCACTGACATTTCAGTGCAATCTGAGCAACGTGAACCACCACGCTGCAGAGAAGGCTGCTGCACAGCCACGGCTGGGTGAGACCGTTTTACCAACACCATCATATGAGGACACCGATAAGCTTAGGATTTTACCTCGGCTTCAGGAATACAGCAGCGTCACACCTGAGCATCAGCCCTGCTCTCAGCCCTCACTGACACCAGTGGCAGCAATTGCTGCTCTGCAGAACCCCCCAGCAGCACCTGCTGGTAGGGCAGGCAGCTCTGGGTTGGCACAAGGGTTTCAAAACACGGCGTTGTGAAAGCTGGCCTCACAGTTACATCACCAGTTCAACAGCTTGAGTATCTTTAAAGAACAAAGCGCCCAAGGAATGCTGCTGTGCTAGAACATACTACTATTTGCACTGAGTCAAAATCAGACATAGATTCATGTTTGTAAACTTCTCTGTGTTCTGCAGCTCTAACTGCAACAGTTAATTATTCCAGCCTGTAATCAATCTGTTAGTAACTGCAGGTCAAAATCTGCTTTCATTGTGAGTTTAGTACCTATCCCATGAAGAGAAGCATGTTACCAATTATTTGACTGCAGAACAAGATGCTATGGCTTTTCTTCTACATCAAGTTAAAGTCTCCATCATTTGTGCTGAAAAGCTAGAAATAGATTTACACTCATTTTCAAGTTGTTTAAGGACTCTTGATAACATCTGAAATGCTTATGTGGCTGATTTTGAAGGGAGTTTCGGTACTTATTGCAGTATGTATCTATTTCCACTGCACACTAAATCTTTCAGCAGAAAGTCAAGGATCATTATGAGCACTGAGAATCAATACCTGATCTGTGCACAGCTGGCACTAAAAGCTGTGTGCAGTATTTCACCACAGGTACCACAGATACTGCTCTGTAAACAGGGTTGTGTCACAGCAGCCAGGAACACACAAAATGAAAACCAGGTCCATGAACACATGACTTAAAGCCTACAGCCACGTCAGTTAAAAAGAGATCAATAAAAGGCAGCACAAGAGCTCTACGCACACCAGACCAGACTGACTCGTCCGGGAGCAGCCAGTGAGCGGTCAGGTGCTTTTAAAAACCTTCATGCTGTACTGCTTGTATTAAAAAAATATTTCCATTTATGCTACCATTATTTTTTTCCAAAGTAGGCGTTCAAGAAGTTCCCACAAACTGGAGATTGCTCTCTGCCACTTACAGTTTGTAAGCTGATTGCGGCTTTCTGACACACGCACTGTTTCTGACAGCTTCCAGTTTAAACACCTGCTTTCCTCCCTTACGCGTGAGCAGATGAAAAAACCTCTTCATTGTGAACCTTCTCCTCTGCCTAACTGTGAACTGAGAGGAAAGCTGTACTGAAAAAGGAAGGATATAGGAAAAGAAAGAAAAAAGCACAGTTCTAACAACTTGGCTTTTCAATTGAAACTTCAAAGACATGGTGGTGTTTCTTTCTGATGTTAAATCTGATTGCTGACACAGTCAAATAGGAACAATTCTCCCTAAAAACTCTGCCAGTAAACTCAATTTCTGGCACACCACATCCACTGCGTTCTGCCACCAGGTGCAGAAATCTTGATAAACAAAGAACAAGAAATCTGAAATATAAGTGGGAATGGATTCAATGACAACCCCTGATATCGGTTTGTGAAATGAAAGCACGGCTATCGCTATGATTACTGTGAGAATAAAGGTGACTGACAGAGGATTTGCAGCCTGCAGAAGTTCTTCAGGTTTTCCTCCTTCCTTTTCACTGCTCTTGCTGCGCAGTTTCCTTTTAGGAACCAGTTTTATTTTCGGAGTCAGGATCTTGTTGATCTGACCGACTTCAGTTTTAGACCACACGTCCTTCAACAGGTGTCCAACCCGTGGGTAAATCTCCACGGCTTTAACATCGGGCAGCTCCTTCTCTTTCAGAGCTTTGATACGTTGATGCACGTTGTCCACCTTCTCAAGAAAAACGAGTGGAGACTCTTCCTTCTGAATAGAAGTGTTCAGTGACATTAATTCCAGCTGTTCTTCCCTTATTTTTTTCAACTTCTCAATGTGAGGTTCATATTCTTCTAAAATTTGTCTGTTGATTTCATCCAGCGCAGCCAGCAGAACTTGTTTCTTATGTTCCAGTGTCTCACTGAGCTTCTTAAAGTACTGCACCACTGCCTTCTTATCATCTTGTACGACGCTTTCACACTGCGACTTCTGTTCTTTCAGCTTTTCAATAAGCAAGCACACGTTAGACCAGTGCTTATCAGTTAATTGCTCGAGAATCTTCCCAGAAGACTCCTTCTCTTTTAGGTAGGCGCTGTGAAGGTCATCGATGGGATGGCCGTTGTGTTTCCCTATCGTAAGGCAGTGGCCGCACACGAGCTTTCTGTCCAGAAGGCAGTAGACGTTCAGGGGCTGCCTGTAGTGCTCACTGCAGGTGGCCACGTCGCAGCCGTCCTCCTGGCGGCACTTCTCGATGATGGCCTTCAGCGCAAAGTTGATGGGCAGCGCCTCGGTGCCCGAGGCAGGGATCTCAACCACGCTCCTGCAGTTGGGGCACTTCAGAGGAACTCTCAGGGGTCTCCAAATGGAGAAGTTGCTCGACAGCTGAATGACACCTTCCAGGCAGCTCCTGCAGAAGGTGTGCGAACAAGGCAGGACGCGCGGGTCTTCAAACAGGCTGTAGCAAATGGAGCACGTCAGCTCTTCCTCAAACTGATGCATGTCCTGCAAAAGAAAAACAAGTCTGATTTTTCTTCTCACTATCTTGCAAAGTTGTCTCATTCTCCTAAAGAAACATAATAACCAACAACCTAAGCTACACCGACATGTTCACTGCTAACGGGAAAAAAAACTATGATAAAAAACTCAAATACTCCCAAGGTACTGGGAGTAAAACTAAACCTCCCAGGGCTCCTACACAAGGTGTGGGAGCCACATCTTTACTTTCCAGCTTTTCCACGGAGTCACTGTGACACCCTGAGGTTCTCCTGATTTGCACATTTCACATTTGTAAGCCATGTCCCAGACACCAGAACTAAAGCATGCCAGTAACACAGCCAAGCCAAACAAGTCTGCTTTCACTGACTGCATGCATTATTTTCTGAGAGTCAATTAATGTGGGAAATACATTTAAGTGTGCACACTAATAAACCTATCGTCAATTTTGGGAACACCACTTCCACTTTGCTGAATTTTAAGTTTTCATTCGTGGTTGGGAAAAAAAAATCCTTAGCAGCATCCTCATTATTTTCTCCTACATACGTGGAGCCAACAGAAATACAAAGCCCACAGACTTCTTATGTTTGCAACCATTATTTTTTCCTAAGTCCAGGGCAGTAGTTCCCTTCCAATGAACCATTACAAAAGGGAAACGTTCCTCACAAACAACATGCATGAGATAAAGTGCAAGATCAAAATAATCTTCAAAGACACTTTTAACTGCAAAGTATTTGCTTGCTCTCACAGAAGCAGAGCAAGAAACAGACTGCTTTCCTCTAGCACTGTTACGCAGCTCCTGTAACTCCTGTGAGCACACACAGGCAGGGCAGCCAGGACTCAGTGTGGGGCTCCTGCACAGCCCCTGCCCAGGAAGGCACCAAATGCCCCCATGTGCTGCAGGGAAAGCAGACTGCACACGGGCACCAGCGGAAGGAAGGCAGGAGGCGGCTGCCAGAGACGGGAAACGCCAAGGAAGGGAGATCCAGACCTAGCAGCAGTTCAGCAAGGAACAAGAAAAACTTTCCCAGGATAAAAATAAAAGGCAGGATGAAGGTGCCGGGGGGAAATTCTTTACAGAGAGAGCGGTGAGGTGCTGGAACAGCTGCCCAGAGAGGCTGTGATGCCCCGTCCATCCCTGGAGGTGTTCAAGGCCAGGTTGAATGGGGCCATGGGCAGCCTGGGCTGCTATGAAATGTGGAGGCTGGTGGCCCTGCATGTGGCAGGGGGTTGGAGATTCATGATCCTTGAGGTCCCTTCCAACCCTGTGATTCTGTAAAGGCAGGAAATGTTTTCCTGTCCAGAGCTTTGGTAGCAAATGTATTCATCTAAACACACATTCATCACAGGAAGGCCAAACAGTGTAAGCAAATTACAGGCTAGAAGACATGTTAAAATTTCAAGTGTAACCATGCTGGGAGCATGCTGGGTTTCTGAAAGCTTGCAGCAATAGCAGGCCCAATGAGCAGCTGTCAGCTTACCCTCCTGTAATTAGCAACGCCGTAGACGAGATAAAAGCACGTAATATAGCATATCTGCCACAGCTATGTTTTAAAATTCATTAGTTTGACATTCTTTGTACAGACTTCAAGGATCTAATTTATTTGATTCTAAAAGCAAGCTTTCATTTAGATGGAACGAAGTAATGCAGTGTATTCAATGACAACACTGCATTCCCGACCTAGAGAGTCAGCCACTGCTCGTCTCATTAATTATACAAGCACTCGTCCAGTAACTACTATATCTAGAATATGGCTGTGCTGATAAATAAGTAACCATTCTACAACAGAAGTCAGCTGTAATAAGCTGATAAACTCTTAAAAGGTGAATTTGGCACCAGGTAGCAGCCGTGAACCTAAGCCAGCTCCAGTCTGACCCCAGGAGTTTGGTGCTGCCAACAGCTCACTGCAGCCAAGCTAAACCAGCACCAGAAAAGCTGCCTCCTGATGTTACAGAGGTCCGCCGTACCCCCCTGCATCACTAGTGTAGAAGCCCAAGTTTGCGTTAAGGAAATAAATAAGCGATTAAATGACACATAGGTAGTATTTTCCACTTCAAGGTCACCGCCGTGCAGAAGCACGGCAGAACGTACGCTCAGCAAACACAACAGGCTGAGCTGCAGCCCGGCGTTGGTTCATCGGGACGAGCGGTGCCTGCCGGGTTCCAACGAAGGTAACAGCGCCGGCAGCCAACCCAACAGCACAGCTCCAAACTTCGCATCCCAGCGAGGACGGGACACGACTCGGTGCCACCGACATCCCACAGCCGCGTCGCAGCAGCGCTCCGTCGCCGTTCCGCGCCATCGGCCCAGCTCGGCGGCCCTCGCAGAGGCCGGGAGGAGCGCGCGGCCCGGAGGCGGAGGTCGCATCCCGCGGACCAAACGCCGCCGTGCCGAGCAGTTTCTAAACGAGCGCGCTTTCAACGTAAAGAAATACATCAAAAACCACCGAGGTGACCGGGCTGTACGGAGGGGGAGCCGAGGGCCGACGAGCGGAACGGCGCCTGCGTCCTGTAGGGCTCTCGCTGCGGGCGCACGGCGGGGCTGCGCGGGAAACGCGGCCCCCACAGCCGAGCCCCGACCGCTCCGCAGTCCCACAGCGACGGAACGACGCGGCCCGCCCGGCCGATACGCCGCGGGTTCGATTCGGGCTCCGCGAGCGGCCCAGATTCGTTCTCGCCCGAGCCGAGAGCCCCGGGCGGTGAGGACCCCGCGCCTCCCGCACGCCGGTAATCGCCTCGCGCAGCCCCCAGCCTCCCGCCCTCTCCCTCACCTCACCGCGCCGGCCGCCCCTCACGGCTCCGCCGCTCTCCTCAGAGCGCCGAGCCGCGCATGCGCCGCAGCGCCAACGGCTGCGCCGTTCGAAAGTAAACGGTCGGCGCGCGGGGCGGAGCCGGGCGGCAGCCGTTACCAGCGCCCCCCCCCCCCAACTCTCCTCGCCGTAGCGCAAATCACAATTTGCCCCACAGGCAAACTACGGTTTCTCATCCGCGCTCCCTGTGCCGCGCCCCAACGCGTCCCAACAGCGGTCCTCCAAAAGACATCGTGCCCAGGAGTGACACAGAGCCCAAAGCGAGGCGAAAGAAAAAGGAAGTCGAAATGACACAATAAGAGACACGGTTCTTCGTGCAATGGGTTCCATTTATCTTGGGTTTGTGGAACCAAAGCAGCTAATAGAG